AAAGATTGACTTTCCTATTCAGGAATTATTTTTACCTTCATTTCAGGTATCTTTTAATGTGAACTCTTCTTTGTCTTGTCATTGGCCAACTTGACTTCCTCAGTGACAATCTCTGTAGAAACAAGGTTCTAGTTTTCAATTCCAGTGGACATTTAGATAAAGATTAAGGAACCAGCGAATGAAATGGATATATTACTTCCGGGAGAACAAAGCAACCCAGATGTGACTCTAGGATCAGTTAAAGATGAGGCGTCCAGGAGAAACAGATCTATGATACTCACCTAATGCACAGCAGTCTTATGATGTCTAATACTACAAATAAGTTTTAAAGTACATGTAAGAAAATAGGCATAGTTACTTCTGATTTATGATTTATTTTGTGTGAGTTTAAAGGAACATACATTACATGAAGTTTTGAGCTTTTTCCATTTGTAGATCTTCATTAGTGTACGATCAAGATGTTATCATGAAAATTTTTTGAATGCTGGTGAAATAATAAATTATGTTTTAAATATATACAATTATTTTTCTTCTCAAATCTTAAATATTTTTTTTCCTGATGCAGTGTTCTATATAAGACCTTCGGATTAAAGAAAAAAATTAGTATGTGGACAAGGCCTAATGTTTTTCCATTTGGCTGCCTCACAAAAAAGCAATGTAATCCTCTAAATCCTACTTGACTCTGAGGATCAATTGATTCTACTTTTTACTGCCGTAAATAGACAGTCCAGAAATTGTCTTTGAGGCAGATATTTTGAAGCTTGGTCTTTCAGTGATTTGAAAGTATGAAGACTTTTTTTTTATGAGAAAGACACTGTTAATAAGGATAATATTCTCATGAACTTATTTATAGAAAATTGAAAACAGTTTCTTTTCAAAAATTGACCAGATTCCATAGCCATTCTAAAAAAATTATTTTCCATTTTTGCAGTTGTTTTCTTTTGCAGTTGCGTTCTCATGTTTTTACTTTTGATCTTTGGCATTTACTGTGGCTTTAGTTTCAGATTTTACTAGAATGACGTTCATGTGTGAAACTTATCATCATCAGGTATAATTTTTAGGTTAGGAATGAGAAATTTCTGTTTAATGTCTTGGGTTTTTTTAGTTGTGTCTTCTGTTGGCAAACAGATAGTTATCTAATGATACTGGTCAACGCTTCTACTGATATAGTTTTGTTTTAGTTCTCCCATGAAAGCCTCACTGGTGAAAGCATTTACTCCAGTTTTGGGTTATAACTACACCAGGAGGTTTTTTGCTACTGTGAGTGTACTGGTAAAAGTAGATTCAAGCGTTTGCCTAGTTTTGACTAGGCCTAGAATGAGGAAAAATAGTAAACTCTCCTGCATTCCATCTTTATGGGCTTTTTGTTTGTTTATGTTACTGGTGTCTGTCAACCTTGATTTGACGTAGCATTTTGAGACTTTTTGTTCTTTTCCATTGTATGCACTATTCTGTAAAATACTTACAAGAATTATTTTTATCCCTATGGTGGTGATTTAGTACAGGAAATAACATCTGTTCCTGCTCTATGTGTGTCCTTTTTCCTTTCTTTCAGTATGAATGCAACATTGTGTATTTTCCAGCTAGATTTTACTATCCGGGATTATGCTAAAATGAACTCCTTTTGAAACTTTGTTAATGCTGATATAAAATAGAAAGCCAAATCACCTTATTGGTACGTGATAGTTTTATGATTTATCTCTCTGTCATGGTGATCACGCAGACCTAGCTAAAATATTTTTATTTTATATATGTTTTTATTTGCCTTCACTGAGAAGTAAATGTAAAAATGTCAAATGTAAATTTTGCACTGTTAGGTACTTTCTTGGCTGTAAGTCATCCCACAGATTCTCAGAGCATGCTTGTAAATTTTTTTGGATGAACTTACTACTATCTTCTTTCAAAGCATTTTATGGAACTTCATGAATTTTTCTCATCCTTGTAATTGAAAATATTATTAAGCTGCTTGCCTTTTATAATACAGTTCAAGGAATAGCTGTGGACCCTTTATCGTGACCTTTGAAGCAGGTCCATAATGAAACAGTCTGTTGGTTCAGCACCTACTGGTTCATGACCTCTTGCCCCTAGCAATGCTTTTTTTTCCACTTATTGGCAGGAACTTGCACAGATAACACCTCTAAATTCTCTTTTGCAACACATACATATGGTATGTGTTACACTGTGCTGAATTTTAAAGCCAATGAGTTGTTCTTGATTTTATTTGCATGTACAAAACAGTAGATTTTCATTTTACACAAGTGTTCATTTAAAACTTTTTTTCTTATGCCTTAGTATCATAAGTGGATATGTTCATCTAAAAATAAAAACCACAAACATTTCTCATTTGACTTGCAGGTATCTCCATTTTGCTGATATCAGAAAAAGAGTGACTTAAGTTGGCATCCTTGGGAATTTTAAAGCCAATGAGTTGTTCTTGATTTTATTTGCATGTACAAAACAGTAGATTTTCATTTTACACAAGTGTTCATTTAAAACTTTTTTTCTTATGCCTTAGTATCATAAGTGGATATGTTCATCTAAAAATAAAAACCACAAACATTTCTCATTTGACTTGCAGGTATCTCCATTTTGCTGATATCAGAAAAAGAGTGACTTAAGTTGGCATCCTTGGGAATCCTTCTAGCCAAAGGTAAGCATATTTTGTAACCAGTGGAAAATATATTTTTAGTATATTTGTAGTATTTTTAAATACTTTTAAAATAAAAAGGCAGCTCTGCTGTTCTGTTTCTTGATGTTTGATATCTCACAAATTATATTTCTTTGGGATACCTAGAGCATCTTCACAAACCCATAAGAGAATCCTTTATATGGCTTGGCATACAAGTTAGTCATAGAATGATAAAACGGTTTGAGATGGAAGGGACCTTGAGGATCATCTAGTTCCAATCCCCCTGCCATAGGCAGGGACACCTTCCACTAGACTGTGTTGCTCAGGACCCCATCCAACCTGGTATTGAGCAATTCCACCCACAAGTTCTCTGGTCAACCTGTTCCAGTGCCTCACCAGTCTCACAATAAAGAATTTCTTCCTAATATCTGATCTAATTCTACACTCTTTGAGTTTAAAGCCATTACGCCCTCATCCTATCACTACATGCCCTTGTAAGAAGTCCCTCCCCAGCTCTCTTGTAAACCCCTTTTAGCTACTGTGAGGCTGCTATGAGGTGTTCCCAGAGCCCTCTCTTCTCCACGCTGAACAAAATCAACTCTCTCAGCCGGTGTTCAGAGGAAGTTCAGCAGTTTTCTTAAATCTTGCCTCTTGTTAGTATTGAAGTGTATGGTACAACCACTTTGAGGCAATGTTTATTATACAGCTGTTATTATGCAGAATGATGATTGTGTTCCTTAATGCATCAGATAAGCCAAAAATAAAATCACAGTTTTGACGATATGGAAGTTCTTAGCTTGGTCCTCCTCTGGAGAAGAGCTAATATGATCAGAAATAGGCACTAACATAATACAAAGAAAGAATATCCTTTGTAAGGGCTAATTAGGCTGCTTGTAGAAATTCCCAAGCTTCCAGTTGTAAAAAATCATGGCATTTTGATATTTTCTGCACCAGGAATTGAGGTGAAGTTATCCTCCTATACCTCCTGCCTTTACAGACTTCTTCATCTAGACCAGCTGGATTGTTTATGGTTTTAGTGGATGGCTTGTGTTTAGAAATACTTTATGTTGGCTGAACACAATCTGTCATCTAAAGACATTTAGTGTAGTAGGTTTTTTTGCCTGTCATATTAATAACACCAGTAAAACTTTTAACTCTCATTTCTGACTACATATTGTTTCCAGGAGGAAAAAAAATTCTGAATCCAGAATTTTTAAAGTTTTTATTTTAAGTTTATTTTGCATTAAATATTTGTAAAGTATGAAGTAAGATAACTGCTTTTGGATTCTTAAAAGGCTTGTCAGTCTATTCAAAGAATCAAATTTAGGAGAGTCTGAATAATTGACCTTCCTTGCCATGTTTGCCATATGCTTTGATGCAAGAAACCAAATTGAACTTTCTGTCCAGCCACCTGAGCCCCTCTGCCTTCCATGTGCTACAGCAGTTAAACTAGGTGGATGTTTAATAGCTACATGTTACCATTTATCAGATTTTAAGTGGCTTCCTTTGCTTACATCAAGTTAATAGTTTCTTTCCCCTTCTCATCTGAGACTCCATTTCTCAATAAATAGTTCTGTAATACAAAAGATCACCAGACTCCTGTGTTACTGAGCCTGATGAAGTTCTGCTATATTAAAGGCAGTGTATAACATACCTCTGAAAATTTTACCTACTACTTTTCATACAAACAGTATGTTTTGCTTCAGAAGTACTGTGACTGAGAGGACAATATTGTAACATATTTTGTATTGTGTGTTGTCAGGAATATCTGCATTTGAATAAAGCTAATGTAGTACAAGAGAGCTTAACACTGGTAAATCTAGTCTAGAATAGTGTGCTAACCACTTCTAATATTGCATTTGCTTTATCTTTTGGCTGTATAGTTAGCCAAGGCATAGTAGATGTTTAAAGAAGTCTGGAAGAAACTGAAAAATACAATTTGTAATTTTCTTTTGCTCTCTTTCTGTAGTTAAGAGTAATAGTAGTTGTAATATAATAATGCTGCAAAAAGAATGAGGGTTGCAGATGTTCAATCTTTAATGATGTGTATTGTTTATCTACTGATAAACTGATCTACAAGCTAGTGAACCACTACTCCTTTTATATTTCTGATAGTTACTGTATAGGGACGTGTACATGGGACACCCTATTCAATCTTGTAGTTTGGTGTTTTGGAAGTATGTTTGTGACCTTGTGATGAACCAGCTTCTAAAGGCTTATATATTCACGTGAATTAATGAAAACCTAATCTATTGACAGTTTGTATACGGTATTGATAGTTATGATAGGGGGGTAGATAGAAGAGTGTAGTTTGTGCATAAACATACCATATATTCAGAAACGAATGCAAACAAAAATGTATAGCAGTAAATTTGATCTGATAGTATATTTACAGTGTGACACGACTTACGGAAAACATGGCATGCATTTGGTACAAAGAAAATTGTTTTCAGAACCTGAACTGTATTGGACAAGTCATAAAATTTCTGAGTAGGACAGTCTAACCCTCCTGCTAAAGGATGATCAGCTAGAGCAGGTTGCTCAGGGTTAAGTCCAGTCAGGTTTTAAATATCTTCAAGGGTGGAGACCCCACAACTTCTCTCAGCAACCTGTTCTACTGTCTGACTCTCAGTCAAAAAATATTTTCTTATGTTTAGATGGAGGTTCATGTGTTTCCTGTCTTATTGCCTCTTATCCTCTCATTGAACACCAATGAGAAGACTCTGGCTTCCTTTTCACTGCCCCCAGTTAGGCACTTGTAAGATCCCCTCTGAGCCTTCTCTTCTCCAGTATGAACAGTCCCAGCTCCCTTAGCCTTTCCTCACATGAAAGATGCTCCAATCCCTCAGTCTTTTTAGTGGCACTTTTCTGGGTTTGCTTCTATCATTCCATGTTGTTCTTGTACTGGGGAATCCAGAACACAATACTCCAGATGTGATGAGGGAATAATGATGGAATTTTAGCTCTAACCAGTAAGTGAAAAACAACTAGCTAGAAATGCAGATAGGCACATACCAGTTTTGTCAGTAGCAATGCACTATGTTCGATAATGCTGTATGGTCTTCTCAATCTCCAAATTAGTATCCTTTAGTTCCTCTGTGAGAAGTATTTATGCCACAGTCCGGGGGGAAGCAATGGGACTGAGACAGCAATAAGAGTCATGACACAAGGTAGAAGGTCGAAGCTATCTCCCTTTATTGAGGGTGAACATGGGTTTACATAGGGTTTGGGTAGAAGGAGCTGGAAAACTGGGAGGAGCATGGGATAGACAACCAGGGGAACAAATGAGGGAAAGAATTTGGGAGAAGAGGGAGGAATTTGGGAGGAGCTGGGGAAGACCGAGGACCAATGGGAGCTCACTCCACACTGCGGCATATTCCAGCCAATCAAAGGGAGGAGCAGGGAAGCAGGGAACAAACAACTCAGGGCAAGTCTGGACATGCCCAAACAATGCACATGAATGGGGTGTTATATTAACAGTTTTTAAATTCTGTTGAAACTTCGAAAGTCCATGTAATAAATTCTTCTCAACCATCATAAATTCTTCTCCGTGCTTGAAATCTTTCCCAGTCTGATTCTGTGTCCTCCACATCTTTATACTTAAGTATAAATAAAATATCAAGCTGCTTAATTTTTCAAGGCATGTATGCTTTTGTCTTGGAGAGACCCATAGTCTTAATAGTTGTTTCATCTGCCATCTGGGTGGAAAGGTCATAGGATAAGTGAACCAATATTTTTTTAAAAAGTTAATCACATACTACAGAATACTAGTAATGCTGTGCATTATTTCTGTTTTTGTAAAATCATACCAGTCTGCAGAGTTGGTCTTCCTAGTCTGGGTCCCTTCTGACTGTCATAAATGTAGCAGGACTTACCAGTTGAGGCAGAGGACTATTTTGGTTCCTAAAGGCAGTGAGCCAAAAAAATACCTGTGCTATGTTCTGTCTTTCTGCACTGTGCTCTACAAAGTGTGTGGTTCTGGGAAGATTTGTTAGTTTGGCTGGATTTTTCCATTTAGCCTACTGGAGTTTGGAAAGAAGTAGGATTCTCTCACCTCTACAAATGCTGTATCACTCTAAATAACAAAGAGGTAACAGTAAGAAGCACTAGTTGACTAAGCATGCATTATTTGTGAGTTCCATCAAAGTAGAAGTCAAGGTAAAATAAGATGCATGTTAATAAAACAGAAGAGCTTACTAATGTGCATTTCGTGTTAGCTGTTTTGGAGAGGGCATGGGGAAAAAAAAGAGGCAGTGTTGGCAGGTTGGGTGGGAGAGTTAGGATCAAGAACTAGGGAGTGATGAGTCTTAGAAGGGAAAGAGACAGCTAATTAAAAATAAAAATAAGAGAAGCTAGTGCTAAACTTCCTTTCCCTAGCCCTTAGCAAATGTAATATATATTTTCTCTTTGAGGAAGAGGCTGATGTACCACTGGTGCTAACTAAAGAGATGTAAGAAAAAACAACAAATGTCTTAATAAGCAAATAAAAAGAATGAAAGAAAGTTGTTGGGAGGGAGGGCAGAAAGGACACACACCATCCTGATCTCTTAATATAATCTAATTTATTTCAGCAAAATGATTTATGTGTTGTTCTTGTATACAAAGTGAAGGATTACAATAAATTATCTTAATTGAAATCCTTTGTTTCTACCTCATGCAGAAAAAGACTTCTAATGAAATATTTGAAATAATTAAGAATTAATGCAAATACTTTTGAAGATAAGGTGCAAAATGGGTAAAAAACATCCTATGAGCTTGTTTCTGATTGTTACTAGAATTATGCAGGATGAGTGGGAAGGTTGGAAAAAAAGAGCTATGCGTTTGTGAAGGAGAGACTTCTCAGAGAAAACTGGAGAAACAGAACATGGAACAACATGGGAAAGATGGGAAATAAAAAAAACAAAACAAAACAAGAATTTGAAAATAGTTCAGGGAGAGCCAAAACCCTTCTGGAATTAAAGCTGGTGAAAGATGTGAAGGGCAACAAAAATCCCCTGTTGCAAATACATAAGCAATAGAAGGAATGCTAGGGAAAATGTGAGTCCACTGATAGTGGGATAGGGGATCTGGTGACAACAGGCACAGAAAAAGCTGAAGAGTTCAATAGATTTTTCACTTCAGTCTTCACTGGTAAGACTGGCCTTCTGGAACCCCAGACAGTGTGGAGCAAGCAAGATTTACCATCAGTGGAGGGTGATTAAATTAAGAGATATTTAAACTGATCATAAAGAAGTCCATGGGACTAAATAGAGGGTGCACCCATAAATGCAGATGGAGCTGATGTCAGTGTGAGGGCACTCTTGATTTTCTTCAAAGGGCCATGTGATTTGGAGAGGTTCCCAAGGACTGAAAAAAAGTCTGTTCAAGAAGAATCTGGAGAAGTACAGGTCAATAAGGCTTGCCTGTCCTTGTGAAGGTGACAGAGCAAGTAATCCTAGAAGGTATTTCCAGATACAAAACTAAGAGGAGTGCGGTTGGGCTGCCATCCAGAGGGACCTAGACGAACGGGTAGAGGAGAACGTCCCTAGTTCAAAAAAGTGCCAATTCCTGCAGCTGGGGAGAAATAACCCAGCAAAGTGTCCTTGTGGCAGCGCTGGTGATAATACTATGTGCAGTTCTGGGTTTCTCAGTACAAGAGAGAGATGGACATACCGGAAAGCGTCCAGTCCAGGCCACAAAGAAGGTTAAGGGACTGGAACATTTCTCGTATTGGGAAAAGCTGAGTGAGCTGGAGCTGATTGGCCTAGAGAAGGCTAAGGAGGATCTCATCAATGTATAAGTACTTGAAGGGAGGATGTAAAGAGGAGTTAGGCTATTTTCAGTGGTGCCCAGTGACAGGACAAGAGGCCATGGGCATAATTTGAAATATGTGAAATTCCATCTGAACATAAGAAAAGACTTCTCCTATGAGGGTGGTTGGGCAGTGGAACAGGCTTCTGGGAGAGGTTGTGGATTTTCCATCCTTGAAGATATTTAAAACCTAACTAGACATGACCATGAGCAGCTAATCTCTCTCACCCAGGACAGTTGGGCTACATAATCTCCGGTAGTCTCTTCCGACTTTGAAGACTGTGTGGTTCTGAGAAAATAGCAAAAGGGGAGAAATTGATGTCTATTTTTCAAGCAGGAAAAAAGCTAGAACATATTGATAAATTCCATTAATTAAAAAGATTAAGTCAAGGTCACTTGCAGCTTTTTCTTAATCTAGTTGCAGGGAAAATGCTTGGGCTGTTCATTCCTTGGTTCGTGAGCTTAGGTAGCAGGGTAATAGACATCAGAATATTTTTCAGGCTCAGTTAATTAGGAAGCAGAAAGATTTAATGAGGTTTTAGAAGCATTTTCCAGGGTCAAAATGGATTGTCTAAAAGATATATGAGAGCTTTGAATTTTGTGAAACCAGCTATGCTGTAATATTTTTTATCCTGTGTATGCAATGTCTAAATTTTTGTTTTCAGTAAATTTTAGTCTTAAAATATTGATTTTTATGATACTGATGACCTCTTGTTATATTTGATCTTCTCTTGGGTAGCCTATCTCATCCACTCCTATCTAAAAAATGCAGACAGCTTAAAATAATCTCTTGCAGGCTGACCTGGTCTGGTTATTAACCCAGCACACTCTGAGCCCTGTCTGTTTGCAAAGCTGAGGGGGGAGGAGACTGCAAGAGGCGAGGAAAATTAGAAATTAGAAATCTCACAAGTAGTCTATTTGTCTTTCATGGTTCTCTAAAAAGTTATTCATTTGCTGTGAACAATACTTCGTAGTTCTTATCTGTTAGACTTCTTGCAATTTTTTTTCTTTGTCTTGCCATCTCGCTCCTGTTATTTAGCCTAGTAACCTGATTTGCTGCCTTGTCAAATTCCTCCTTGTGAACGAAGTGTGTACTCTGTCTGGCATGGCAGCCTGTGAGAAGGGGGAAAGAGGGACACAAAATTTTCCCAGATCCTCCACTTCATCTAGTGTCTGCTTGTACACAGTTTTTCTGTTTTATCTTATTGCAAATATGAGAGACTCATATGGATGGAAAGAAATCATATTTAAAAATAAATAAACAGAAAGGTTTTTTCTTGAAATTTCTTGAGATTTTTCTGTTGTATTTAAGACTAGTGACATTAAGTGCTCCAGGCAGTTTCAGGAAGGGCAGGACTAAATGCCATCAAATGCTGAAGATCAAAGTCCACTGCAGCAAGAAAGTTTTCTCAAAATATAAACTAAATTTTTAAACATTTTTTGAAGTGGTTGTTTCTAAGAGGGACAGAAACACATGCTTCCATTTCATGTACTTTTTGTTAAGCATATATGCTGACTGTCTCTTTAGAAGAAAAGAGAAGCGCAGGCATTTCTGTATGTAACATCCTTCCTTTTGTTATTTGTCTCTTGGAGACTATAGAAAAGTGATCTTTATTGTTGTTAATGATGATAATAGCTAATTATGTTTGGGTGACTGACAGATTAGGTAGACTGTCTATTTCTACTTTGCCTTTCTTTATTTTTCGCTTGGCTCCAAAGCACCATTCACAGATATTTAGTTAATTTCTCTGACTTAGTGATTGATGTTATTGTTGTACCATGTTTAGAAGCCAGATACAAAGAATATGACTTTGATTTTTGACTCTGATTGTTTTTATCCTTCGCTAAAGTAGGATTATTTTTTTTTAAGAAGACCATACTTAGAAATATCTTCCTGTGCCTTTTTAAAAATTAGAATATACCTGTAAATAGACTTCTTTGTGGGGTTTTTTTGTTGTTTTGTTTTTTTTGTTTTGTTTTTTTTTTTTCTGTTTTGTTCCTATTGACAAGCCTTTTTTGTTTTAGAATTTTCAAGGTCAGAGTGGGCTGCAGGTTTCATTCAAAACTATTTTCTAAGGAGCAGATAAACTGATGGCATAGTCTAGCCCTTTTGCTTTACATATGCTAATTATTAGGTAGCATTTGGCAGTTGGTAGCTTTGTCTGAGCAGGAGGAAGAATGTCAATTATATGACAGCTGTATGCATGTCAGCTAACTTTGTCTCCAGGGCAGCCAGCACTTACAGTACTTCTAGATTTAGCAAGGTAATCTTAGGATCTCCCTTACTTTGTGTTTGATATAGTTT